AGCCAACTACATGGGAGTCCAGCAACATAGCCCTTACACCATCTGCTGGTCCCGAGACTTGACTTCTTACTGCCCTTTTTAAAAGTAGAGCAAACCTGGGCCCGTAGGTGGCATATTGACTGATGCTCTGGATCCCACATGGCCAACTCTGGTTTGATTCCAGGACCAGCAGCTTGGAAGACATACCATGTGTGCATGTGTGCTCAAAAACCTGAGAAGAGAATGCAGGGGAAGGGACTGCAGCATGGCCATCCCCCTGGGGGAGGTTATTTATCACAGTCTATCTCTCTCTGGTGAGCACACATGCCCTGTGGCCAAACCTTAACCAAAAAAAGGAAAGAAAAGCAGAGCACAGATTTCCTAGACTATTTCAGAAAACTTGCTGGTCAGATTTTATGCACTGTGTCTTCTCCTGAAGAGAACCCCTAAACCAGTTAGTAGCAATGCCCCTTGAACTGAGGGCGGTTCCTGAGACTGTGATACTGGTATGCCCCAGTAAGGGGTGGAGTGGACGTGAGGAGCCCACCACACTAACCGCTCCACGCAACGAGGGAGCAACATGGCAGGCCGTGTTTTGTTTATGACAAAGTCAGCCTTATCGTAAGTGTTCATTCCTGCAAATTCAGCTATTTACTGTGCCCAGACGAAATGAAGTAAGAGGTTGGTGGCAGGGAGTGCCGTGAATGTCTGTGCGTGGACCTGTGATGGGAGCCATATAAATTCCTTTCCCTCCACCAACCTGCCTCGGCTCTCAAAGGCCCCGCGTGCTGAGTCAGATTACAGTGTTCAATGCTGTTTGTGTTTTTTCCTGGTGTTCAGCAAAAGACCAGTCTGTGCCAGTGTGGGAGGTTAGATTGGCTGTGTGGGGATTATTGAGAGGTGGCCTTTCTGTACTTCACTGAGGACCTAAGGGAGTTTTGTGGTTATTTTTGTTGAGTAACTGTTGATTTATATGCTGATTTTAAAACTTAACTCCTTTACCTAACTCCGTGATCCTTTTGTTTTTATTTTTAACTTTGCCAGAGGGCACCTATCCTCACTGTGGAGAGGCGGAATGAGAGAGGGAAAGTGATAAGCACCCCCCATGAGGAATGGTCACAGCACAATCCCCACTCCATTTCTCTTTCCTCTCAGGATTTTGGGCATGCCTCTGACATGGTTTTGTTTTTGTTTTTTTAAAGAATGATTTCATTTTATTTATTCATTCAATTATTTTCATTTGACCAGAGAAAGATAGACACAGGGAGAGGGAAAATGAGAAAGCGAGCTACCAGGTCCAAGACTTAAAGTGTGGTCAGCCATGTGGGAATGCCCAGCGCCTCAACCACTACACCACCACTACACGCTGGCATGTTTTTCAAACCGTCAGATGTGGGATTCGAGCCACACTGTTGGCCATGTGAGATCCAGTCACCTTAACCAGCACATTCAAATGCATCACATTTCTTTCTTTCTTTCTTTTTAAATAAAGTATTTATTTGTTATTCAACCTGAAGAGAGAGAGAGAGGAAGCAGGCCACCAGGTCTGGGACTCGAATGGTGGTTGACTGTGTGGCAGTCCAGCACCTCAACCACCATACCACCTGCTGGCCTCATTTCTTTGTTTTTCCCTACCCTTTCCTTTTCTTTTCCCTTCCCTTCATTTTTAAAATTTTTTCTGTGAGATTTTTTGCTATAGGGCACAAGTGCTCACTGGAGACAGAGAGAAACAGAGAGACAGAGAGTGAGAAATTAGCCCTCAGGGGAATGACCACACTTCAATCCCTTCTCCTCCATTCTTCTCTTGGGATTTTGGATATGTGCCTGGTGTGCGTTTGAAGCTACCGAGCCCAGGACTCTAACTGCAGTCAGCTATGTGGAGTCCAGCAATGTAACCATTACGCCATCTGCTGGTCCTTCCCTTCACTTTAATTTTTGACAGAGGCTGTGTGCGCTCACAAGAGAGAGAAGAGGTGAGGGGCAGGGATAGCAAGAAAGTTCCCCCTGTGGCGCATGGTCCCGCCTCAATCCCTTCTCAGCGTGTTTCTCAAGCTCCAGAGTCTGGACAGGTTGGTCCCGTGGGATCCAGCCCTCTAACCACCACACCTCAGCCTGCACCGGAACATTTTTTTCTCTAGTCTTAGTGTTATTTTAGTACGTACCATACCCCCCCAATTCTAAAATGCTTCTGTTTTTGGAATGGTAATGCTTTGTGGGTGTCGGTTTCTGGTGGGTACTATAGTCAGACCTGCCAGGCTAGCTGGCATCCGTCCATTCCTCCTTTGACTCATTCTCCTGTGTAGTTTCGCCGACATGTTCCGTTCTTTTCCCAGTATCTTCAGGATCTGAGTCAACTGGGGTTTACTGATTTTGAAATGAATGATGAAAACCGAAATAAAGTCTGCCAGGCGGAGGCGCCTGTGAGAAACCCTTGCTTTAGTCATGGTGTTGCTGTCCCAGCAAATGGGACTGAGGCAGTGAAAACCAAAGGAAAAAGTGCTGCATTTATCACAGGCAGATGGGGACGTGGAGTAGCTCTTCAGAAAGTCGTTTATGGGGGACGAGCAGATGGCGTAAAGATTACATTGCTAGACTCCCACGAAATCGACTGTGGTGTGAGTCCTGGACCTGGTGGCACATGTACCCTATAGCAAAAATCTCTCTTAAAAAAAATAAGATAAAAAGTAATTTATGGGCCAGCTCCATGGCCTGGTGGTCAAGGCAGCTGGGTCCCCCATGGTTGACACAATCGCTCACATTTTGGACCCAGCAACTCGAGAAACATGTTGGGCACATGTGAGCCCAAAATCCTGAAAGGAGGGAGAGGTGGAGAAGAGATTGCAGTGTGTCTTCTCTATGACTAGTGCTTTCTCTCCTGTCTCTCTGTCTGGGGAGCAGACAAGCCCTTTAGCAAAGAAAAAAATAAAGAAAAGAAAGCCACTTGCAGTATAAAAAGTTTCCAGTCATGTTCCCTGTTTTAATATCATTTGTATTCTTCTTACAAGTAGGATGTTTTACATTTTGTCTTAGAGAGGTTTTTGCTATAGGGTGTGTGGGCTCACTGGAGACACAGAGAGACAGAAAGCAAGAAATCTCTCCCAGGGGGAATGGTCACTCTGCAGTCCCTCTCAGGATTTTGGGCGTGCGTACACACACACACACACACACACACACACACACACACACA